CAGCTCTATCAGAAGCAGATTGCACAGCATCCAGAAGCGACAGATTAATGCATTGTAAGTCTTTCTTGACAACGTCGATCCATCTCAGACGTGGCCGTCCTCGGGGTCGTCGTATGTCTGTTGTGTTGATCGACATTAGGAGGGCTTGGAAAGAGGACGATCCAATGCGGTGTCAAATTAATTGCTCGTATAGATCCCAGACATCATCTCTGAAAATTTGAGTGAGATTGCTTTATCCATATGGCTGCTATGAGCTTGCAAAGACCGAATGTAACATATCTTTGACTCGCACAATTGCAACTTTTTGGGGGAAAACGTAGAAATCGGTCTTTTCACGGTAAATCCTTGTGGATTTTGTTCAAATTTTCTGTGCTCGTCAGAAATACCACTGCTGACTCATGCCATACCAATACGCACATATTACGTCATCATGGACACAGTGCGCATGCGCAAATCAATAATTTGTGAAGAATTCAAACAATTGTGTTTGGAAAGTCTATTGGATCCGTCTCACGTCGTCGCCTGTCACCAAGATCGGGTGGAATGAGTACTGTCCGTCGTCTTGGATGTCCGAAGCAGCTATATATGACTGCCAGAAGCTCTCGATATCCATCTATACGCTGAAAATATTCCTGACGTTGACGACGCTGTTCAAATTTATTGGCAAAAAAATTGCCAAGCGAAGACGTATTTCAACTTCATCTCCAACTCTGACTACTCTGACGATGACGATGTCAACAACAGTTCTAGCTATTGTGGTGATTACTTTTTCTCTCTCTTTCGGCGTCAGGCAGTGAGTGCAAAATATAGCCTACTGGAGTTAGTCTGTGAAATATTGAGTGATTTCTGCTATTTCTGGTCAAATCAGTATGCTGTCAGCTGTACCAGTCCACATCCCATCGTAGATCTACTAAGCGAGCAGGCAAACCCAGATATTTGCCTTGGGATTTCATTGTGTGTGGTGAGAAGAGAAGTCCATTCACTTCTGAGAAATTCAATTTCAAATTGGAAGTCCACAGGCCTGTATTTAGTATGCGCCGAATTCATCACCGCCAGTGACGCTTTGCATAGTTTTCAATATTCTACTGCCCATATATACTAAGACCTGTGGCGGCAACGCGATCCTAATCAATCTGTGGTCATGTTCTCCGAGATGAGTTCAGAAGCAGACATGTGATCTGCTACGCTGGACCTGAGGCAATTTACCAAAGTGGCAGTGCTGCAACCGCATGCGATCGCCGTGATGTGTGACGGAAACGGCATGGCTGCACCCTGGATATGCCTCATTCATCAGCACCTATATTGCCATACCCATGGAGAGAGGCCACCAGTGAAGGCTGGGTTTCCAACATGATTTTACCTGCAATGATCCTGATTGAACAAGCCCTTAGAGAAGAAATGAAGACTCTAGCTGAACACTGAAACCAGATAGCATCGCGTTTCTGCTCGGCACCGCACTAAGTAACACCATTGTGATACAACCAGGAAGAGCTGGGAACTTGTGGGAAGTGACAAAGAAGTCAAGGAAGAAGTAAAGAAGACTGAAGAAGAGCATCACTAATCATCAAGGAGACCAAAATGAGGTCACCTACGAGCCAGATGGCTTCTGATGTGAAGATTTGTAGGCAGGTAGGCTGGAATTGGATAGACTTTTTTTGTGTGTTTTTGGTAACTTTTTAGCCTATCCCGCATTTTTCTACCACGATTGCGGCAAAGTGGTAGGTGCTATACCCCTAAACCTATACATTTCTGAGCTCTGTGATGCATCAGCTAGTTCGTGAATGTCTTCGTTTAGCCATTTATCATTGCTTGTTCTCACATTGGTTGTGGACCCGATCATGACTTTTTTTGCGGATGCGCGCGTCAAAACGCTTTGTTGTGACATTGTGATCTAAAGGACTTTGCAACTGTTTCTTGATATTCAATACCTAGAAATATATGTTAGGAACGCTGTAGCAATTGGTTATTTTCTACTTGATGGATGCATATTTCAATTTTGCGGTTAAGAGGTGCGGGTGCGGCCAATTATCGCGATTCGGCAATAACAACGGACATGAGCGGAGTCTGTCCTCTATTTGTGCTGCTCCTTGTCCTTTGGTACATAATGAATGTCTCCAGAAAATTTGACCTAATTCCAAAGAGAATTGGCTGAGATGTTTGTATTTTACGGTGGACTATCCGCGAAGGTAGATCGCCACCTTAAAGTTTAAGCGATTGTGTGGATTGCTGGCGACTGCCGATCGACCGTATGCCCAGCTAATGGCCTATGACTAGGCTATGTGCGGTGTCGCTTGTCCTTCGCTTTGCTCAGGGCAGCGATAATGTGTATTCGCGGTGCACGTTCGGCCTACCATCGTCCAGTTAATGCGATGAGGGAGTTGGCCATTGTGGAGAGCGGCTTCTAAGCATGTGATTGAGTGGTCTCTGCATGTTGATCAGTTAGTGGGGTTCCATCGCTGACACAGTGTGCGGTTATTGCATTATGAATTGGTTGAGTAGATAGTTTCGTGTTCGATATTGTTTTTATTTTTATTTTTTACATATTAATTTTATTTTATTCGTGTTCGATATTGAATTATTTATTAATTTTATTTTTTACAAATTTTGTTTTATTCCATTTCTCATTTTTCATTCGTGTTGGGTTTGACTATTCACTGTACTGATACATGGTGATGATTGTGCTGTGATTTGCCCGTAAAAGAGGCCTTCCTTTTATCATCAGACAACATCTCATGATCATGATTACGGTAGCCGATTGTTGCCAAAAACCTGGGATTTCCCGATATTATCCACTATGAAACTCGTTATGCCGCTCAAATCTCACATATAATGCTCGTTTTGTTCCTTTCTAATGCTCCATAATGCTCTGATGCTCGGATAGTCGTATAATGCCGAATATTGCCGGCATTATCCGCTGGACCCTACCGGCATGCCGCGGTCGAGATCGCGCCCTGGCCTAGGCTAGCCTATTAAGTATTAGGCCCTGCATGTCGTACAGTCAGACCATGACGACGACGTACAAGGAAGGATGTGGAGGCTGCAGCAACACTGGACTGGATCTGGAGCCAACAGTCCCGATCCCACGAAACAGCATAATACATTCGTACATTTTATGACTAATTTTATGTCATAGCCTGGGTGTAACCATGGTAACGCACCCCTGATTCACGACATCTACAATCGTATTAATTTAGTTACTAGTATGTCATAGCCTAGCCCAAGAGTGAGGGCTAGCTTACTGCGATAGCTACTGTGCGTAATGCGTAGACACACCATGTCTTCTTTGGAACAGTTATCGTGGAATATACTATACGGTGTCTGCCTGCGGTGTCACCTACCTATTGAGACTGTAAAATGATGCGTTTGGCTAGCCTGCTGTCAATAGATGAAGCGCACGACTGTGCATTTGCAGTAGAAAGTGTCGTATTTATTCAGCTTTTATATCTTGTGTACTTGCATACTGGTATTTGTTTAGTCCCACAACCTGCGATAAAATGATCAGCTGTAGCACCTACTCCACTTCTATGTTTATGTATCTACAGTCAACTTCGCTAATAACGACTGCGCTAGGCCGGCGCGCCATGGCGCCACGCATATGCTGGAATTACCACCCACGTGCACGTGTCTACGTACAGTGAAACCTGTCTATGACGACCGCTCAAGGGACCTTCAGAATCTGGTCTCTGTTACCAGGTGGTCTCCTTATCCAGGGTCATTTGACTGGAAATAGCATCCCTTGGTCCTGGTTCCAGTGGTCTTCTGGGATACGACAGGTACGAAGGAGGCTCGCTCAACTAACTTCTTGCACCCTCTGACCATACCTGCGTCTGCGACGCTTCTCGCGCTCATGGCTCTGGTAGCGAGCATGTGCTAGCAGCGAGAGAAGAGGAACGGTTTGAAGCAGGGAGTAGTACAATTGTACTACTCCCTGGTTTGAAGGAGCGAAAGGGTACATCAAGATAAACGCGTTCAAACCGTCCTCCTCACACGCCACTCGCCGCCACATCCAGACGGGCCTGATCCTCGGTCTGTGGTTAAGTAGGTCACGTACTGTGACGTAGCCTGGCCTACAATCAAGTCCAAGACTAAAAAAATAGTACAGTCATAGGACTCATATATACAAAATGATACACCATTAGTACATAACCCCGGGGCGGGGGTTAAGTACTCTTGATGATACAATGACATGTAACCCCCTACAACCTACTCACCAGTATATATATTTTTTGTAGGGGATTACATGTTACATGATGTACTGTACTTTTGCTACAATTAACTGTACAGTATACAGTCATGTAGCTAAAAATAATTAAACCGATGATTGTGCTGAAATGTACGAAAAAAAACTATAATGACGTGCATGTACTACATGGTATGGCCAAGAGTCCATAATTTATGGATTCTCGGTATGACCAAGGCTCATGGGCTTGTACGAGTCGATGAAGCCTTGTGTTGTTCGAACTTTTACTAGTTATACGCGGGTGGGCTTACCCGCTACGGTATGTTGTTTCGTGGGCCTGATGGCTCCCTCGCCACCTACAGTAACTAACTAACTATTACTGTCTTTAATACTTGCACAAATCAGACAAGCAGCAACAGACTGTCACGTCAGTCAGTATAACAGTTAACACAAGGCCCTCCTCCTTCCTTGTACGTCATCATGGTCTGACTGTAAGACATGCTGGGCCTATTGTACTGAGGATAGCGCTTTGTAGGCTAGCTACAGCCTGGTACAGGGCGCGATCTGGCATGTCGTCGTGCACGTGCCGGCACCGATGCTGCGGGATACCATGGATACTGATGATGGTAGCGATCGACCTCTTGCAGTATTCAGTAATACTAGTAGTACTAGACAGTCTAGTACCGTAGTCGTGGTAGTAGTAGATCTACAACCACACTTGTACTTAGCTACTTCTTCTCACCTAGTAATATGGAGATTGAGTATAATCTGCGCATGCGCACGAAGATCAGTTTTCGAAAAGATGATCTGTGAGCAGGGTGAGCATTGTGAGTGTGTGAGAGTCTTTCACCATGCATCCACCAGCACTGGCAGCAGTAGAGACTACAGACTAGTGCAGGAGGTAGGACCAAGGGCAAGGACAGGTAGAGCCGTGTAGATCTACGTTTTTATTTGCGCAGAACCCAGCTAGAGTCTAGAGTGTACTGACCAGCAGTCACCTAGCCAGGTCTGCAGGTGGAATAGAAGTAACATAGGTGCATTTGAGTCGCAGGTGTGCGAAGATCCGTCTCCGACCCGTCGTTGTACCACCCAACCACCAAGCTAGCTCCGCTGCTCGCGCAGCTGTTAGTCAGTCATCAAGAACCGCTCTAAAGTGCCGTCAACTAGTAACCTACCTAGTCCCTAGGCGTTTCCCAAGTACAGTGCAGTTTCCTGTGTTGCAGAGCTCAATCTATTTTCTTCTCATCATGGATCCGCCCAGCAGCCAGGCTGACTCGAGCCAGTCAAGTCTTGAAGGCGCCGACAACAGCGTGCCCACCAGCCCCGATTCCTCGGCTGTCTCCCTTTCATCAGCAACATCAGAAGAAACAGCGCCAACCGGGAATCCACAGACTCCCGGCGGCTTTACGAGTATCACCCTGAGGAAGCTGTTCGTCGGCGGGCTGCCTTTCAGTACATCCAGCTCGGTTTTGAAAGAGCATTTCGATCAGTTCGGTCCCATTGAAGAAGCCGTGGTCATCTCGGACCGTGCTTCTGGCAAATCGAAAGGATATGGCTTTGTAAGTTGGAGTATTTCCTTCTGCGATCATCTTGTTTGCTTTGCATTTTCTTGTGTCCCTGTATGGTAGGAAGACGTGTGTTAGTTCCGTACAAACTGACAGTCTGTGTGTTGTAATCATGGTAATGGCGGGTGCTAGATTCAGCTAGTGCACTACATGTAGTGCATGTGCCAGGGTGTAGTCCGTAGCTGTGCGTGTCGGTCTGTGTCAGCTGCGGTGGCTAGGTTGCAACGTTGGCAGTTCAGTTCGCGCGCGTTCAGTTCAGCATGCAGCAGCTGATTTTGTTCATGGAAAATCGCTGTGGGTAGATCTACGGCCGGGTCCGGGTGCGATCGACCGAGTCTACCGTGCTCTTGACTTGAGTCTTGTGAATTGTACGCATGAGCTATTGACAGTATTCTCGATATTTGAATATTTTCTCCTAGGCTATAATGTCTGTACCGTACGCGTCCGGCGTCCAAACTGCGCCAAACCTGTGCCTTCGAGATTGAAGAAGACATTACGTTGAAGGCTTCGGCTCTTGATTCTGCTCCTGTCGTGGTTTTGCAGTAGCTAGCCGAGATGCAGGCAGGTGAAAAGTAAGCACCACAGAGTGCCACTTAGTGCGAAGATAGGCGGGATGCTCCAAGTGCTGCTTCGCCTCGAGACACGAGGCCACTACCCCCGGCCCAGGCAGAAGGCTCCCCGACGTCTGAGTGATGGTTCTAGCTGATAACAGCAGGTAGTACTTACGCTAAGTACGAAGTCTTGTAGGTTTGACAGTTGCGGCAGCATGGTCAAGACTCAAGGGTGATGGCCAGGAAAGGGAAACATCAGATGATTAGCACCAGAGTAATGCTTTGCTGAATAATTATTTAGCTGCAGCCTGCTGAGCGAAGAGCATTCTATATTCCGAGTAGACTTACTTCGATTTCAAGTATTGTGAAATGTTTACCGTTCGCCAGGCGCGAATCTGCAATGTTCACACAAAACAACGAGTTCTGTGCTCCGCCTGCGCCTTACTTTCGACATTTGGTAGCGATGTCAGAGTGCCGTGCCACGTGACCTCCACGCTTGTCGCTGGATTCCCTAGCAACCAGCTGAAATGATGGCACAAAAGGTCAGTACGGCAGAATGCCAGTCGCGGCCAGAGCGTGCAGTACTTGGCACGCGGGATATTCAAATGTGACCTGAAGACGTCAGTGACAAGCTTGGTCGTGACTATTGCCACGAAAATAGAAGATGAACTTTCGTATCCGCGTTTGTGCGGGCGCGCTGCGCCTACGGAGCTGGGAGTATGGCCGCCGACAAGTTAGCGTATGTTCAGTCGCCTTTTTCATCTCTTGCGCTGCCTGATACAGGTTTGATTTTAGTTCCATCGTGTTCCCCGTCGTCCAATTTAGTTTGCTGCCAAGTTTCACCGGCGTATCACGCCGCGCACCAGACTTGTAGTATTTTTCGCGACAGGTACTCCATTGCTGGATACACCGCCATCATGAGTGTTCGTCCAGCAAAGGGACCGGCGGTGAAGATGTTTTGTCGAGTCTTGGACTCGAGGAGGAGCAGCTATTGCAGGATAAGCCCCTGCCTAGAATGATCGGAAACGTTTCAAATGCATTGGTGTTAGAACTGATGAAGTTCAAAGCGGACCACCACCAGGATCATAATCTACTTGTCGAACTCTTCTTGTCTTGGAGAATGGTCAAATCACAACTCATACTTCGGCTACTCTTCAACAGTCTTCTTGAATTTCTCCAACAGTTTGCAGCAACAAAAAAAAAACAGTACAGCTACGGTATGTACATTTTGTACAGTGCGCAAGATTATTCATGAGCCGAGATCCCTGTTGTCAAGACCGATTTTGTGCCGTGGTGAGATCTGGTTTGTGTACAGTGCGGCATGGTGCTTTTCGACAATGGCGGCGCTTACCCCGCGCACTCTAAACTGGAATAAGTCCACTATATTTGCTCCGATTTGCTTCAAACTTTGCCAGTATACTCTACTTGTCTTCAGGAATCGGATGGTATTACAATATTTGCCCGATTCTCAAAACAGAAATTTACCCTGACATCGCTACATTTGGGGAGGATACAGCTGACTGACGGTCGTGTATTCTGGCTTCAAATCGTAGGTTTCAATCGGCCGCATCGACTTCTGCATTCGGGTGGAGAGGTGCATACAAAGTAATAGTTCTGAAAATACGTTTTCGAGCATAGCCGATTTGGTGCTTCCAGCTGGAGCCCCGCGCCGGACGTCGTCAATTTCCTTTGCTGGATGATGTTCAAAACGTCCGATGATCCATTTGGTGTGTTGCTGTTGCGTGGCTTCGATGTGGGAAAGTCTGGCTGGACCGCGAAATGAAAAGGCCGCCGGAACAGCCCATCTTCGGATAGCAGCTGTTTCACGCATAGCTCGAGTACAACGACTTAGTCTTTGATGCATATCGTTGTAGCAGGTCAGCCGGAGCAGCTCTCCCTCTCCGAGTTCAGAGCACCAATGTTTGTCTACTCAATGACGAGAACAGTAAATAATTAGTGTCTCCACATGCTCCCAATACTTCTTTATAACTGCGGCACATGGAGCCTGACAGAGACTCAAGAAAAGAAACTTGACTCGTTCCACCGCCAGCAGTTACGAGCAGTCATAGGGGTCAAATATCCCCGTATAATACGCAATGAAGCACTGTACAAGCGCACTGGCTCCAAGCCACTCAGCAGAATCATCCAGTCTGCTAGGTGGAGAATGTTTGGCCACATGCTTCGACTAGACACCTCATCCCCGGTCCAGCAGGCTATGTCGGCATACTTTCAGCCAGGAAGCTCAGGGTTCCGAGGCCGCCCGAGAACAACACTCCCGCGATCCATCAACAACGACCTGAAAAATTCCAGATCCACAAACTCCCTCACATCACACGAGGATCTAGTTGCACTGAGGCAGCTCGCCCAGGATCGTCGAAAGTGGAAGGATCTAATGTGTGCTGTGTGTAATGGCTGAAGTTATACAATTACACTAGATACCCTTAACAATAATAACGGATACAATTACACTAGATACCCTTAACAATAATAACGGATACAATTACACTAGATACTCTAGATACTAGAGACTCGGTACTCTAGATACTAGATACTCTAACAATTTTATCAAACATTATGATAATTACCACATCAAATGCTGCGGAGACCTATCCAGAATCGGCAATATGCTGGCCCTGGCCTGGAGATCTGCAACTATAATCAGCTTCTACTTTGCAACACTAACGGATTAGTCCCCTTTGTCGATTGATGGATCAATCGGTAGATTCGGCTCTGTTTTTCTTCCCTTTCTTTCTTGTTTTGAATTGTACGTTGAACTCATTGGATTTCTTTGTATTCTGTATCTCGTTATCGTTATATTTCCCTCTAGCCCTCTCGCTTAGGATGAGCTTTCTTTTTTATGGCAGCTTAAGCGAAGGCTATATACCTGCTTTATGCAGGTTGATGCCAACGCGAACAAGCAAAATAATAATAATACATGCTCGTACAGTGTATTACGTTGGTACAGGCATGCGTCGCTCTGAATTGTTCAAAATACAAATATGCAGTGGCGACTTTCCACCATTTTTCGATCACTAAAATCACTTTCTCGAATTGCTTAAATTGTAGTCTCATTCGATTCTCCAGAGCACGCAACATAGGACAGCTACTATCCACATCCGCCCAGCCCTTCTGGAGGCCAACGCCTAGTTTAGTCCTTATTCTATTAAAGTCAGTTCCCATTGTTCTGATAGTAACGTTATGACCAGCCGAAGTTATGCCCGGTGACTGGGTTGCCTTGCCGATAGTGCTGCCTGGTGCCGAAGAAGAACAGAGGCTCAGGGCCGCCGTTCTTGTTGTCTATGCACATGTACTACAACCTAGTGTATTGTATCACCTGATCAGCTGATGAGTGTCCGCTGAGATGGCATGAAACTTCAAGTTGTGACTGACCAGGCCATCTGTTGTTCTCACTAGTGTGCACTACAACCTAGTGTGTAATAGGTACATGTAGTTGAGACACTGTGTACATACGGATACACTGCACTCGCAATCGTCTAACGTTCTAGCCAGCTCGTTCTTCAGCACCTGACTGGCGTGCGTGTCTGTTGTGATGGGCTGTGTGAGTTCCGGGCTATGCGTATCAGAGGCGTCGGAAGGTGTTCTAGGGTGGTACGTTCGGCCATCTGAGGTGTACTCGAGGTGGAGGGTCTCTGCTGAAACTTGATTTATGAAATTTAGAGCCCAGATCAGGGCACTTTGTTGGTCCGCGGGGTGCCTGGGGGCAAATAGTGGTACGGTCAAGACCGTAGTGACTGTAGCGTGTCCGATGGCCCCTGTGTATTTTAAACTATTTTTTTTAATTTTTTTGTTTATTTAGTCGAAGAACAAACAGGCAAATTTGCCTAATTACATGATATCTTGTATGCTGTGTATGCTGTGTGTGCTGTGTATGCTGTGTGTGCTGCTTCCGCTTACCCGCGTAGGTCATCATGAGTAGGGAGGAAGATGCGACAACCGCCCGTGTCGAGGGGCACCCCGTGATTGATGGACGGCGGGCGAACGTCTGCCTGGCCATCGAAGGGGCAAAGCCCAAGCGAAGCAGAGTCGGGCGTAAGTTTCGGCGGCGTCCTAAACGCGGGGGGGGGGGGGGGGGGGATTGGGATTTTCACGAGCATCCAGATGCTTCGGAATGATGTGATTGTGGTTGTGCTGGCTTCATTAACCGCTCCCCCAATATTAATGCGCTTCCCCTTTCCATGCACGCGATTGTACAGTAGAACTCGCTTACTAGTAGCACATTCTCTGATAAGACATACTGCGGAACCGGAAAAATTCGGTGCAGTTTCATTTTCGGTAAATTTGGTATAGGTACTTTTACCCTGAAATAAAACGCAACCTAAAATTCAACAATGCCATGCCACACAGTGCGCAATGTGCAAAATTGCGGGGTTGGCCGAAAAACGCGAAATTTGTTGCATCCGTGGAATCGCGATTTCTTGGAGGGACAGGTTGATTTTGGGAAATACCGAAAATTCCCGGTTTTACTGTACCCTTGCTGAGTTGTGACATTGTCCGGAGCATGCCCGGGTATTTTTGTCATCAATTCTTAAGTATGCTAGGATGTGTAAACATTCCTGTTCGCTGTGTGTGTGTGTGGTGTTACTCCACTACTCTGCTCTCTGTCTCTTCCAGCTAGCACTCCAGCACACTCGTACATGCACTGAGCCACAACTATCAACAAGGAATCAAGAGAGTTGAAATAATAAAGTTGGGAGAAAAGAAAACTGTTCTTTTTCCACGAGATCCACGATCCATCGGGAAAAAGGACATGCACAAAATGGCGACCATGTCGTCCATTGACGCGTAATCATGGTAATCATGCAAAACAAACTAGTGCAGCGACCAAAGAAAGGACATACTGTAAAGTGAGAAACTTTCGCTAGAGCTTAAATTTCTCTATTTTTCGCGACCATCACACATTCGCGAATAAAAATCGCCGCAAACCTCTCCGTACATTGATTGTAGACAGTACAAGACCAGACTGAAGAGATAGAATCACAAAAGTTTCTCGTCGTGAACCAGCCCAATTTATGAAAACGTAAAATTTGCGCGTCGCGAAAGTTTGTCACTTTACAGTAAGTGAAGAAGAAGAAACAGCGCTGCAGCAAGAAGATCGGATCGCTGCAGTCGCTAAAATGCACTAGCCTACTGACTGTAGTTCCACGTGAGCATGCAGTCACGTGGTCATAAACAGAGTGCGTACACACTCACGTCATACCGATACATCATACATGGCAAAAGAAAAGAAAGGAAAGTCACGCGCGAGTCAAACAAATCAAAGAGCGCAAGACTACTGCAAATACTACGAGGAATTTGTTTGAGAACAAATGCACAAGACTGAATCTCTTCGAAACTAGAATGGAGTCTGTAATGGGAATTCTTAGAGAAGCTAGGGAACTAGAACTCGGCGGAGAATTCGGCAAACTATTCCAACGAGCCTGGACTCAGCTACAAAGTCAGAATACCATCAAATAAATAATATCGTCAGAACTATTGTAACAGTACAAGCAGTCGATTTACCACAGTGTTATCTCTAATTATCACTCTTCTATATCGACCTCCACTAATTCTCGTGATCCTTGACTGGTCCTATATTACCCATATCGCCGTAATATCGACCGCTTGTATCGACCACTTAGGCATTGTAATCTTTCGACTTTGGAGGTGTAGCAACCCGCTGCGCGCTTTATGGATCATTGATTTGTGTTTCGTCTGGTTTACCATAGATTTTCAGGTTTTTTCCCTTTTGCGTCACACTTGCTTTTGCGGAGGTGTACAGCACAGCGTACACCATGTTTGTAACTCACGTTGTATTCCCGTATACGATTTTCTTGCACATGCCGAGCGTTCGTATGAACCTTGAACTCTGCGGTACAACCCAGTCCCGTACCGGCATGCATTTGTACACACTGAGTTATCCGACTTGTTTATTTTTCTTCTCTGCCGTTGCCTTTCGGCTTCTTCCCCACTCGATTGACAACAGCAAGTACTCTATTTTCTACTCTCACAGTCTTGGTGTTCGTGGGTAAATTAGTATAGTAATTGGAGCCGCTATCCTCCAAATTGGTGACCCCGTACAACCGGTCAGCATCAGGCTACCGCGTTGTGTAGCCCAAGTGCCGGTATCCCGAACTCTCGCTGCAAGTAATTTTCGTTCGTGTGTGGTTAAAGACCCTGCCTAGTACTAGTAGTAGTAATGGAGCGCGATACCTCAGCCCACGCTAGAGGCACTCCCATGCCCAGCACACCTATCGGTAGCAGCAAATTGCTAGCTCGCACCGAGACCGCGCTGGCCGCCAAGAGCACAGGGACACCGAGCAGGTTGGCCGCCAAGCAGGCGCCTTCGTCCACGGAGACAGAACAAGGCACAGGTACTCTCGTCGCTGCCAACGCCGACCCGCCCGCACACCGTGCTGGCAGTCCCGAGGTGTCAGCAATTACTACGGTAAAGCTACCGCCTTACTACGCGAGCGACCCACAAGTCTGGTTCGGCGTGGTGGAAAGTTTGTTCCGGACTAGGAATATCAGCAGGCAGTCCACGAAATTCCACCATGTCATCAGCAGTTTGAGCGCTGACTTCGCCACCGAGGTACGCGACCTCATCCTCAACCCGCCAGAGGATGCACCGTTTGACCAGCTGAAAGCTCGCTTGATACAGCGTACGCAGCTGAGTGAGCAGGGCCGCATACGCCTGCTCCTCTCCAAAGAGGAATTGGGCGACAGGAAGCCCACACAGCTGTTGCGGCGGATGCAACAACTCCTGGACGACCACACAATGGACGACGGACTGTTCCGCGAGTTGTTCATCCAGCGGCTGCCAGAGAAAGCCCGCCTGATCCTCGCGTCAAGCTCGGAGGCACTGCCCCTGGAGGATCTGGCCACCATGGCCGACCGGATTTTGGCAGTTTCGCCCGAAGCGAACACAATCATGGCTCTTCGTCCTGCGGCAGCAAGTATGCCGGACAGTACTGTGGCACGCCTGGAGCGGCAAATTGCTGAACTGACTGCAGCAGTGTCAGCCCTTGCTGAGCCTCGTTTCCGTGGTCGTTCCAGGAGCAGCACACCTTCGCACTCACGGTCTAGCACACCAACACGTGACGTGTGCTTTTATCACCACCGATTCGGCGATCGTGCTCGCCATTGCCGGAGCCCCTGCTCTTTCAAGCGGCAGGAAAACGCGCAGGCCAGCAAGTAGTGGCACCCTTGTCTGGCCCAGCTGGAAGTCGCCGCCTGCACGTCCGTGATCGGCTCTCCAAGATGCAGTTCTTGTTGGACACCGGAGCCGCTGTCAGTGTAGTGCCGCCGACCTCCCAGGAGCGTCACCGTTGCCGTGGCACTCCACCACTACGAGCAGCTAATGGCAGTACCATTGTCACCTATGGGATGCGATCCCTGACGATTGACATTGGTCTCCGTCGCCGTTTTCAGTGGGTGTTTGTCGTGGCCGACATCATGCAGCCCATTCTCGGTGCAGATTTCCTCGCTAATTTCCAGCTGCAGGTTGATCTGCACAGCCGCCGCTTGCTGGATGCCCGCACCTCACTGCATATCTCTGTGCCTGTTTCTGCCTCCGCTCAGCTGTCTGTACATGCGTTAATGCCTGACTCTTTGCCGCCGCCTATTCGCTCCATGCTGGCTCGCTATCAGTCTGTCACGCAACCTCCTGCGTTTGATCGGCCCGTTCTGCATAACGTGGCGCATCACATTGTCACCAGTGGACCTCCTGTTTTCGCCAAGCCACGCCGCCTCGCTCCTGAACGCTTGGCAGCGGCGAAGCAGGAATTTCAGCACATGCTTGACCTTGGCATCATCCGGCCATCCGAGTCACCCTGGGCCAGCCCACTCCACATGGTCCCCAAACCCAATGGAGATTGGCGACCTTGCGGCGACTACCGCGCCCTCAATCTGGCCACTCAACCAGACCGGTACCCAGTTCCTGACATACAGGATTTTACGGTACGACTCGCCGGCTGCAAGGTTTTCACCAAGATCGACCTGGTCCGGGCGTACCACCAAATCCCTGTCGATATTGCAAAAACTGCTGTCACGACGCCATTTGGCCTCTTCGAGTTTGTGCGCATGCCGTTTGGCCTTTGCAACGCTGCACAATCCTTCCAGCGATTTATGGATCAGGTGCTCGCCGGCCTCGACTGCAGCTTCGACTATATTGATGACTTGCTCGTCGGCAGCCCAGACCTGTCCACCCACCTCAGCCACGTGGAGCAGGTTCTGCAACGCCTCGATAAGCATGGGCTCGTCATTAATGTCACCAAGTCCGTATTTGCCGTGCCCACCGTAGAGTTCCTGAGCCACACTGTGTCTGCCGATGGAATCTGCCCTCCTGCCAGTCGGGTCGACGCCATCCAGCAGTTCTGTGCACCTACCTCGCTGACCCAGCTCCGTAAGTTCTTGGGGATGCTGAACTACTATCGACGCTTCATCCCGCATTGTGCGGAGATTGTTCAGCCCCTAACGGATCTGCTATGCACCAAGGTCGGCAAACAGTCTGCTCGTCCGCCACGTAAGCCACCTGATTTTGTCTGGCCACCAGCTGCTGCTGATGCATTTCTCGCCGCTAAAGCTGCTCTGGCCTCCGCTACCCTGCTCTGTCATCCCTGTGTGCAAGCGCCGATTTGCATAATGGCTGACGCATCTGACCTGTGTGTGGGCGCTGTACCGCAACAATACGTGCACAGCTCCTGGCAACCGCTGGCCTTCTTCAGCAAGAAGTTGTCTGACACCGAGCGCCGATATAGCACCTTCGGCCGAGAGCTATTGTCGGTGTATCTGGCTGTCAAACACTTCCGTTACTACATCGAAGGTCGTGTGTTCCGCGTCTTAATGGACCACAAGCCGTTGACGTTTGTTCTGAAGCAGACCACCACAGCATCACACTCGCCCCGTGTCCTCCGTCAGCTGTCATTCATCGCAGAATTTACCACGGACATTCGTTTCGTTAAGGGTGAGCACAATCCGGTTGCGGATGCTTTGTCTCGTATTGCTGTCTCAGCTGTCTCGCCGCCTGCCGCTGTTGACTTTGCTAGTCTCGC